TATAAAAAAATAAATGTATCTATTGGCAGCACACAAAAAAAAGTATTTCATATGCTGCAAATCGAAGTATGTAATGCAGGTAATAATGCGAGAAGTTCGTCAAATATATAAAACGAAATACAAAGAGCGTTTAAATGAAATATTTTCAATTCCAAATATATTTTTGATGTTTATTAACAAGCCACTGCTGCTAAATGTCTCAGCGTTAGAGACCGAACACGGGACCCTTGTTGATACAAGAAACGTAAATATATAAAAATAAATATTATATACATACATATATATATATATATATATATATATTACATATAAATACATGTATATCGGCGTATGCATATGCGTCTGTAAATTAATGCCTATATATAATGTAAACAGATTGTAACACACACACTCACGCACAGACACACACATATATATATATATATATATATATATACAATTATATATATATATATATATATATATATATTCAATTGTTATTTGTGAACAGCTAATTTTGTTTAGAATACATACTGTTGTGATGAAATCATTCTAAACGATTAAGGCGACAAGCCTTAAATTTGTTTTTACAAATAGAAATTTTATTATTTATGAAACAACTTGAAATATGTTTATATAAATAAATAAATATATTAATATTAAATAATAAATAATATAAATAAATATTATTAAACATATTCCATAGTGTGTGATAGTTAAGCTCAGGGACACCCGTTCGAATCTAGAACCTGACATCGTGCAGCAGCGATATCAATATTTACTTGAAAATATAGGATCAATCTCTTACACTATTCTTCGTTGAATCGAGTTGAAGTTTAACTCACAAAGCTCACAGACATGCCCTAGGGCAGTACTAATCATTCATAGATGTATATTTTTAGAAAGCAACCCAACGGCTGTTCTATCTATATTTCATATCTTTTTATTATAAGATTTTTCGGCCTCTTATACTGTGATATATCTCACATTATATTTATAATTTGATTTAGCAATGACGGAAAAGAGCTATATTCAACAGGAAACATATTTTCGATCTGTATTTTCAAGTGAAATTTTCAATCCGGCTGTGTTGAGATTTTTGGGTTGCAACGAACGAAAGAATCACTAAAGAGTTCTGCTTGGCTAATAAAAATATCAGCACGAGGATCAATTCATTCAAAATATGATATAGGCTAGAGCGGGGCTTAAAGGTCGGCGGGTAAAAAAGCCCACCACCGATAACTCAATAACAAGTAAAGTTAAGAATTTTTTAACTTCCCGTAGAGTAAGCTATAGTATAACAAACTATAGTAATAGATATTAAATTTTTTAAACATTTTGGCATACCTTGGCCCCTAACCGTCCAAAATTTACCCCGCTTATGAGGTAAAAAAGACTGGATGACAAATTCTTGAAAAACAGCAAACAAAACACATTTTTGCAATGATGAATTAGTTGGGAGTTCTCTGAAAATAGTCAGATAATTGTTTGTTTGATATGTGTTATTTGATGTGATATAATTAACTTCCCGCAAAGTAAGTTATTGTACTCGCAAAAAATCGAAAATGAAAATTTTAATATAACTTTACGTTTCAGGGGTTTCTGAACATTTTGACATACCTTAGAAAAAATTTATGTATGTGTGTATGTGTGTGTGTGCGGATACAAATTTTCGTCGACGATTTCCGGAACACCGATCAACCGATTTGAATAATTCAAAAAATATTCGATTCGTATTGATAAGAAGACGTGCTGATTAGTTTTCGGCGCAGGAAGGTTTAGCCGTTCCGAAGATATGGGGCAAAAGCGCTAAAAACGGTAACTCAGTTTTTAAGTGAACGAAGAGTCAGATTTAAATAATTCAAAAATCAATTTAATTTGTATTGACAAGATAAAGAACTGATTAAATTTTTGGGAAGGCAGGTCCAGCGGTTATGGACTCTCAATAAAAATAAGTTAAAAAAATGTCATTTGACGGTCATAAATGTTTATTGGACATATGTATATCGAATTATCAGGTATTTTATAGAGATTTTAATTTTGTGTAATTTTTTTTGGGTTCCGTACCAAGATTTTTAATTATGGTACGGGAAGTTCCAGCAATTTGCCTTAAGGCACGATACCATGCACCCCACTAGTTGGTATGGTTTTCACAATAATTGCTCAAAGTCAAATTAGACATTTGTGCTCATCAACCAAAAGGTTTTCGAATCTTTCAAAACTTAAAATTGGCTGTGTGATTGTATAAACGAATACAAGTAAGACCAACTATATACATTTACGTATACATAGGTATGTACGTATACATAGGTATGTGTTGATTTTAACAAAGTAATAAAATAAAAAATAACAAGTTTAATTTCTATGCATTACATTAATTACCATGTATACATGAATATAATACATGCACAAGCTTTAGACTGGAAGACGTTTTACAATTTAAAATATTTTTTTGATATTGATTTTAAGACTTAACCAGAATATGTTCTAAATATTAATATGCTTTAGGGCAGGTCCGTGAGTTGAGTTAAACTCCAATTCGATTTAGGGAAGAATATTGTGAATGATTTCGCATTGCCCTTTAACATCGCGGTGCCTGATAATTTGCTATTTTCAATTTAAAACATATTTTTAACTTCCCGTAGGGTAAGTTATAGTAATCGCAAAAAAATCTAAAATGAAAATTTGCATATATCTTTACGTTTCAACGGTTTTTGAACATTTTGGCATACCCTAGTTAGAAAAAATCGATGTATGTGGGTGTGTGTGTGTGTGCGGATACAAAATTTCGTCGACGATTTCGGCAACACCGATCAACCGATTTCAATCATTCAAAAAACATTCGATTCGTATTGATAAGGGGACGTGCTGATTAGTTTTTTTTGAAGGCAGGTCTAGCCATTCCAAAGATACTGGAAAAAAGTGAAAAAAACGGTAACTCAGTTTTTAAAAGAACGAAGCGTCCGATTTTAATAGTTCACAAAACATTTCACTAGTATTGACAAGATGAAGAACTGATTAAATTTTTGGGAAGTCAGGTCCCAAATAGAAAATAAGTTAAAAAATGTCATTTGGCGGTCAAAAATGTTTATTGGACATATGTACATCAAATTATCAGATATTTTAAAGAGATTTTAATAATCTGTACACATTTTGTGTAATTTTTTTTTAGTTTCGTACCAAAATTTTTAATTACGATACGGGAAGTCTCAGCAATTTGCCTTAAGGTACGATGCTATGCACCCCACTAGTTGATATATATTTTTAAAGGAAAATGGACATCGCTCCTGCACGATGTCAGGTTGTCCAGAGAGCAGTTGGAACTCACCAGTCAGGAAGCTTAACCATTACTTTGTGGAACCCCATATATATACATAATACATACACACATACATATAATATATGTGTGTGTGTATTTGCATGTACATACATATGATATATGAGATTGTATAATTTGTAAACTAAAAACAGTTTCAGTTTTAAAAAGTTTCGTTCATTATGAAACTTTGCAATGTTTCGAATATATGATTAGTTTTCTTTTTTAAAAATTATTAACTTTCATACAAAATGAAGGATAAATGTATAACTAACATTTTTTAAATATATGATTCAGAAAATATATTTTTAGAAGACAATTCAACAAAAAATTAAATAAATAAATATTTGTTTTAGAACATTATAAAGCACAAACTATTGTTGTGAAGTGTACAACATATTATAAATTAGATATAATATTAATATTAATTAAAATATTATAAAAACACAACAAAATAAATATAAGCTTTAGACTTGAGACTCATAACCTCAAATAGTTGTACAGAAAACACCGTTGTAAATATGTATAGGTGTACATATATACGCATACATAAAACACAACATAAATAATATGGTTAAATATATAATTATGTATATATATATATATATATATATATATATATATATATATATTCTACATATATATTTATTTATTTATATATGGTTCAAACAGCGCTGCCGCGAGCATAATTTCACATCATCTATTTTTCATTCTCAGAGAATCTTTAATATATTTCTATTTTATAATCAAATCTAACTATTTTCAGTTGTCAGTTGCAACAACTGTTTATAAATAAAAAAAATAAAGATGGTAAACACAAGGTTGTGACATAACACTAATTATAAGTAAGCATGGTGTACTTTATATAATTGAGAGAATATATTTGTTTTAATTAAATTAAAGTGTAATAGATTTTATAGATTATATTTCTATATTTTTAATCAAATCTAATTTGCAGTTGTCAGTTGCAACAACTGTTTATAAATATAAAAAAAAAATAAAGATGGTAAACACAAGATTGTGACATAACATTAATTATAAGTAAGCATGGTGTACTTTATGTAATTGAGAGAATATATTTGTTTTAATTAAATTAAAGTGTAATGGATTTTATAGATTATATTTCTATATTTATAATCAAATCTAACAATTTTCAGTTGTCAGTTGCAACAACTGTTTATAAATAAAAAAAATAAAGATGGTAAACACAAGGTTGTGACATAACATTAATTATAAGTAAGCATGGTGTACTTTATGTAATTGAGAGAATATATTTGTTTTAATTAAATTAAAGTGTAATGGATTTTATAGATTATATTTCTATATTTATAATCAAATCTAACAATTTTCAGTTGTCAGTTGCAACAACTGTTTATAAATAAAAAGAATAAAGATGGTAAACACAAGGTTGTGACATAACATTAATTATAAGTAAGCATGGTGTACTTTATATAATAAGAGAATATATTTGTTTTAATTAAATTAAAGTGTAATAGATTTTATAGATTAGATTTCTATATTTATAATCAAATCTAACAATTTTCAGTTGACAGTTGCAACAACTGTTTATAAATAAAAAAATAAAGATGGTAAACACAAGGTTGTGACATAACATTAATTATAAGTAAGCATAGTGTACTTTATATAATTGAGAGAATATATTTGTTTTAATTAAGTGTAATAGATTTTAATATAAGTACAATACCTTAGTATAATGAGTTGAAAACGCAAGATTTTTTTTTAACGTGCGGTTTCCATGGTATCATTTTTCGATTGCGTCCACAAGAATAATAAACATAAACTGTTTTTAGTATTAAATAGTTGAAATTTGTTACAACAGTCCTATAATGAATATAATTATATGCCAATCACAGTTTTGATTTACTTCCAACTTATTCACAAAATATATTTAAAAACTTTACATTGTTTATTATTTAAATCAATCCATTGATTGAATTTATACCATTTTGCAACGAGAGTTTATACGTGATTACTTCATATTTTCGAAATGCCGATGTAAAACATAATTTAATAGTAATGATGAGATGTACATAGTTATAAAATCTTGACGACGTTAAATTAAAAATAAAATTCGGTGCAAGCTCGTGACGCGACGCGTGTGGTGCTCGCGGCGATACTGAGTTCTGAGCAGAAGTATTATTTCAATATAACAGTCTCGCATACATAACAAATGTCCGTCTGTAGATATGCATTAACATTGTTGTACTCGGGCCATTCAAACATCATACAGAAACGCAAGCGCTTTTATTATATACGCACACCATCGCAACGGTTATAAATATATTTCCGATTATAATTACACCATATAGCTGTGGATGTGTTAGTAAATATATGTTTTTATATAAATACATTATATATATATATATATATATATATATATATAATTGTATATTATATTTTATATATATATGTAACCGCGCGTATATTTTTATTTATAAGTATTTGAATTACAAGTTGAAATACGTCTGTAACATCAAGTAACTGACAGTGTGACTAAGCGATATATTGTTACGACTTTAGAGACTGTACACGTTTCGGATCACATCGAAGCCATCGATCAGTCGAATAAAACTAAAACTAGAGGTGCGTGGCATCGAGCCTTAAGGCAAATTGCTGGAACTTCCCGTACCGTATTTAAAAATCTTGGTACGGAATCCAAAAAAATTACACAAAATGTTTTTTTTTTTGTTACAATTTATTTTTGTTAATCAAGACTTTAATGTCTTATTTACAAAATTGATATGAGCAAAAAAAAAATACAAAAAAACAAAAATGCAATACATTGAATATAAAATGAAAAAAGTTGAAATAAAAAAATTAAATTAAAACAGTAATACAAAAATAATAACATAAATGAACGATGACGTGATGATGTATGCCGCGTACTACGTCAGGACGCGTGCAGACATTGGGCTAGGTTGTTGGTAGATCGGAAGGCCATTTCTTGCTCAATCTTCTTATCGGTCTCTGAATCGCTTGAATTGTAGGATTTGTATGCTGGATTAATTTGTTGTTAAAAGATGAACTTCTAATCTTGATCATTTCGTTGACTGTTGAGATTTTCAAATCCTTATGTAGGCAAAAATTCGAAATATACCAAGGCGCATTAGTAAGGATACGCAGAATTTTATTCTGGCACCTTTGAATGATGTTTATGTTAGATTTGCAAGAGCAACCCCATAGTTCGATTCCATAAGTCCAAATGGGCACTATGATAGTTTTATACAAAAGTACCTTGTTATCTAGAGAGATTTCAGATTTCCTACCAAAAAGCCAGTAAAAATCTTTTATTTTCAGTTGGATTTGTTTCTTTTTATATTCAATGTGCGTTCTCCATGTCAATTTCGAATCAATGTGCATGCCTAAATATTTAACAGAATTGCATAGTGGAATTATTGAATTGTTCATGATGATAGGTGGACTGTTGTGATGTTTTAGAGAAACAATTATGTGCTGAGATTTTTCGATATTGATTTTGATATTCCAATCTAAAAACCATTTTTCGAGACTAGATAAATAATTTTGTAACTGACAAGTTGCTGTTCTAATATCGGAATTGCATGAAATAATTGCTATGTCATCGGCGTAAGTGCATATGGTTAGAAGATCATCTGTGGGCATATCGTATGTGAAAAGAAGATAAAGTACAGGGCTTAGCACACTGCCCTGTGGTACCCCGCATTCTATATTTCTGATGCTCGAAGTCACATCTTTAATTTTGATTCTAAATTTTCTATTAAGCAAATATGAGCTTAAGATATTGAAGTAGTTTGGAAAAGTTGTTTTGATTTTATATAGGAGTCCTGAGTGCCAAACCTTATCGAAAGCCTGACTGACATCTAAGAATACGGCTACACTGTGTTCCTTTCTATTCATGGCTTCAAGAATACGAGACACCGTTCTGTTGCATTGTTGAATTGTAGAGTGATTTTTTCTGAAGCCAAACTGATGGTGAGGAATCCAACTATCATTCGGATGATCTTCTGACAATCTCTGCAACAAAAGTCTCTCTAAAATTTTCGATAATATCGATAAAAGACTGATAGGACGGTATGAACTAGCAGTGTGATGGTTTTTGTTTGGTTTAGCGATCATAATAATTTCTGCAGTCTTCCACGCTGTGGGCCAATAATTGTATTGAAGTATGGCGTTGAAAATATTTGTTATATATAAGATACCTTTTGTAGGCAATTCTTTTAACATCTCTTGGAGTGATTTTATCCATACCTGGCGAAGATCTATTTTTTATCCTTTTTATTTCACATAAGACATCATTTGGTGAAAAATGTCCTAACGGTGTAGAATGTATGGGTTGATTTACGAAATTGTTAATTAAATTATTCTGGGAAATGTTTCGAGCGCTAAAAATGCTACTTAGATGATCAGCAAATGCCTCCGCTTTTTCTTCGTTGCTTTTTGCCCAAATGAATCCGTTTTGGTTGGTTATTTTCAGAGGAGGGTTTTGTTGTAGGGGTTTACTTTTGTTTCTGATTGGTTTCCATATGAATTATCGTACCTATTTAACTGCAATATATACGACCTGAATGTACAATTCTTCCATTCTTTCATTTTTTTCCTCAGCGTGTTATTGAGATGATTAAGCGATGTCTTATCCGTTGGTAGATGAGAATGTTGCCAGGTTCGTCTTGCTCTTCGTTTCTGTGCAATTAGCTTCTTAATCTCTTGCGGAATTATTAGATTATCATTTCTTGGATTAATGTTCGGGGTGATCTGCTTGGTTGTTTCACGTACAATCTCAGAAAAATAATCTATATTATTTTCTATATTAATAACGCTTGTAGGCCTAGATTTTGGAAATAATTTTGAATCAAGTATGGATTTGAATTGAATCCAGTTAGAAAGATTGTTGTGTAGAATATGATTGTTGATAACTGGAGTAGGAAATGTGCTAAACGTCACAAGTATTGGAGAATGATCTGAAGAAAGATCGTAACTAGATTCAATATTGAGATTTGAAAGATCAATACCTTTCACAATAAAAAAATCTAAAAGGTCTGGAATTTTAGTAGGGTCAGAAGGCCAATAAGTTGGACTGCAAGTTGAAATAAAGGAGAGGTTATTTTGCCCTATGGCTGCATGAAGAATCTTTCCTTTGGCTGTAGTCAGTCTAGAACCCCAGGCAATATGTTTACAATTAAAGTCACCACCAATGATAAATTTATTACCTAATTGAGAGAAAAATGAAGAAAACTGAGCATAAGAAATTTTGAATCTTGGTGGACAATAAACAGCAGAAACACAAAAATTATATAAATTTGTTTCAACAGAAATTTGAGTTGCTTGTAGAAAATCATCAGAAATATTTGGTAGAACAAAATGCTTTATATTATTTTTGATTAATATAGCCGAACCGCCGCGAGCCCTGCCACTTGGGTGATTTGAATTATAAGTAGTGTAGTTATAAATTTTAAAGTAGTTTTTTTCAGTGAAGTGAGTTTCTGAGATTAATAAGATATCTATTAAGTTCAACTTTAAAAAACATTCTACTTCATTTTTGTGAGGTATTAAACCGTTGGCATTCCATTCAGCAATTTTAATTATTTTTGCCATTGCTTTTGTTGTTGACTAACGTGGATAACATATTTATTATTATGGTGTTCTGTTGCAAAAGCTGATTGAAGATATTTTTAAATTCTAAAATAAGTGTTGCTAGAGAATCAGAATCAGGATTTGAAGGTGAATGATTAGAAGCAGAGTAATTGTTTTTTGCAATGTCTGCATAGGATGAATTTTGAATTGTTGGATTTAAGGCCGGAGAAATGATGTTTATTTTATTATTAGAATTAGAATTATTAGAATTTTTAAAATTTTGGTTATTTGGATTTGGATCTATGACTGATTGATTTACTGGAGTTTTGTTTCTTTGTTCTTTAATTTTTTGGAAGTATGAGCAACCGCGATAATTAGCTGGATGAGCACCGTCGCAAAAATAACAACATGCCGGAGCATTCGGATCTTTGGTACAAGCTATAGTATTATGATTGTCACCGCATTTTAGGCAAGCAAATGGTCTATTGCAGTATTTTTTGGTGTGATTAAAGAGTTGACAGCGAGTGCATTGTATAATGTTATTGGACTTTCTCGGTGGTTCGACGCGTATTATGCAGTTGAATAATTTATAAATGTTATAAATATTTTTGTTATTTCTATTTACACAAAATGTGTACACATTATTAAAATTTCTATAAAATATCTGATAATTTGATGTACCTATGTCCAATAATCATTTTTGAGCGCCAAATGACATTTTTTAACTTATTTTTTTTGAGACTCCATAACCGCTGGACCTGCCTTCCCAAAAAATGTAATCAGTTCTTCATCCTGTCAATACAAGTAAAGTCTTTTTTGAATTATTTAAATCGGACGCTAGGTTTTCTTAAAAACTGAGGTACCGTTTTTGTCACTTTTTACACCGCTAGACCTGCTCTTGCCAAAAACTAATCAGCACATTTTTCATCAGTACGAATCGAATGTTTTTTAATTTATTCAAATCGGTTGAGCCGTGTTTCCAAAATCTTCGACAAAAATTTGTATCCGCGCACACACACTCACACATACATCCATTTATTCTAAGGTATGCCAAAATGTTCAGAAGGTTTTGAAACGTAAAGATATATAAAAATTTTCATTTTCGATTTTTTTGCGATTACTATAACTCACCCTACGGGAAGTTAACTAGTAGTGCATGGCATCATGGCCTTGAGACAAATTGTGGAACTTTCTGTACCGAAAATTTATTTTTTTAAAAAAGCTTTAAACATTTTTGAAAGCCTTGAAAAAGTTAAATTTTTGAAAAAAATTGACTTTTTTGAAAAATT